ACAAACAAGCAACCACATTCAATCAGTTAACAAATAAGTGCATGTTTCAGCATCATCACCCTTTCTTGTGCTATACATCGCGCACACAGATTTTCATAAATGCTCTGTAAGAGTAATTGTCGGAATTGTAAAATACAGTTTACCTCAGTTCCACTCTTTCTGATAGTGTTACATGACATGAGAGCCTTTATAAGTGTAAGTTAGGCCCACCCACTGTTTTGAAGATAATCTTCTGTTTTGTGAAAAAAGTGAAAAAAAAATACTTTATCAGATTTCAAACTGCAGTTTTTGCAAATGAAAAGCAATATTGCCACTGTCATCAATATTTTTTTACAGAAATGTTTTTCTTCACATGTAATTATGGGATTTATCGTCCAGGGTCAAGCTCTCTGTTTAATCATGTATTTAATATCTCATAATTATTAATAAAGTAGGACTCATTATTTGTTTTGTAGAAATGTAATTGTTACGAATGTTACTCACAACTATTGCTCAGTCAACAAAAAAAAAGCTTACAAGTAGAAAGCAGCCAATCAGAAGTCATAGTTTAGTCATCCTGTATTTACAAGTCTACATTCATTTATGTCAATTTTTGTCAGAGGAATGACACAGGAAAACTCCTTCTGGCTTTGGATACCTAGCAGTTAGATATCTAACACAATCCTCACTCGCCCCAGTGTTTCACAGCTGTGTTTCATATTCACAAGAAAATGGACCCCCAAGTGTGATGAATATCTCTGCCTTCTTGTGCTAAACATAACTAATGTCAGCCTTTCAGTGGGTCCTTTAGGGGTCTAACAGTGAAATCACTTTACTGCCCTACAGACTTGTACCTGTAGCCATCGGGGCTGTGACTGGCTCAGTGGGCTAAGTGACTGTCTTTGGAAAAGTTGCTGGTTCAAGCTCTGATCTTGACAGTACAGTTACATATCCATGGGTTCTTGAGCAAGGGCCTTAACTCCCAGCTCCTGGGACACCACACATTAGCTGACCCTGCACTGTGACCCCCAAGCTATAGAAAATGGGATAACAGACACAACATCCTCTTCCTCTGGCTTTTCTGAAGAAGAGTTGTAACAGTAATCGGTGAAAGTGAAAAAGATATGCATTCTCTATCTGCTTTGTGCTCAGCAAGCTGTACCTTCTCATCGTGGTCAGCATGACCAAACACTTACAGAGCCGAAGTGTTTGTGGTTTAGCAGGTTTGGATGCTTTATCTGTAATCGTAAGGTTATGGGTTCAAACCCCCCAGTCAGCTGGCTGACTTCAGTTCTGGTCCCTTCAGTCTCATAACTCCTACTGCTTCAGGTGCCCTCTGACCCTGCTTTGCCAGTAATGTATGGCACTTGGGATTAAAGTCTGTACCAACTAAACATAAACAAAATGCATTTCTCAAGCCTGAATTTACAGAACTGATTCTTGAAGATCCTTCTTCTCCCGCTACATCTACCCCCCCACTGCACCTCCTCACTATTCACATTTTCAAGCTGTTATTAATTTGTTAATGAGATATTTAAATAAACTATCTCCTACCATAATTTAATGCAAACTGTTGCACTGAGATCAAGCCTGGTATCACAGCACACGTTGGCACGAAGCGGGGAAGCAGGCACGGGGATCCGGGGAAACGCAAGGTTTATTTGGGAAAGGCAACTCGGGGACCACGGAGCAACACACCTAACCCTAACCCTAAACCTAACCCTAACTGACGGCAATGACCAGACTGGGGAAACATTCACAGATACATACTTAAATACCACAAAGTAATTAAGCACAATTAGGAACAGCTGATGAGAGGATTTCACACAAGGTAAACAAGGGGGCATAGCACACAGGTGGATCGGAACAATTGGGGCATGACACCTGGTAGCTTCAACTTAATATATATGTTATACTACTCAAAAAGCCTGTTGTGCAATATCAACTTTCCAAAATTCAAGCAAATCACACCCGACTGAGTGCTAACCAGTCACTCCACAGAAACAGCCTACCTCCCTGTGGGTGATCTTTTTTAAACCCCCAGGCCTACCTTCCCATGGGTGATCTTTTTTAAAGCCCCAGGCCTATCTCTCCATGGGTGATCTTTTTTAAACCCCCAGGCCTAGCTCCCTGTGGGTGATCTTTTTTAAACCCCCAGGCCTACCTCCCTGTGGGTGATCTTTTTTAAAGCCCCAGGCCTACCTCCCTGTGGGTAACCTTTTTTAATATCATGCGAATAGCGCGATTTGCAAGTGGGAAGGCAATCAGAGCTGCTTCGAGACACAGACACTTAAGTCAGTCACTCTTGTTCTTTCTATTCGCATCACGAAGCTGTAAAAATACATTTAGTTTCTACCTATATATATTTCAAAAGTAGACCGTCCAAGGTTTCTGAGGGTGTTTTTTAAATGTGT